CTGTGGATAAAGCATCGCGCATTCTTTTGGGAAAGGAGACCAGTTGGTGGATTATAAATAATGTCCAAGTAATTTATATCTTTTCACGTGGTGTTGCGGAAAGTTTCGACCTTGTTTTCTCATATTTCATTCATGTGTCGGTTATGCTTCACCCTTTGTATCAGGTAGATATAGTTCGATCGACTCTTAATTGAATGGGTTTGTCCAGTGCCTTCTGAGAACCGACTGTAATAGCAGAGACATACGCTATTTGGTTAAGAAGCTTATAGAAGGGTACCAGATTTAGTCGCACTCGTCCTAACCATAATGTTTCTAGTCCTAGGATTTCACATCTGATAGGGTAGTTTGTGCCGTTATCGGTTCCGAGCACTTTTCGCGTGAAGTACCTCTTTACTCCTTCTACTTTCAGTTTGTCTTCTATGCGTGTACTACTGATTATGAATGAGCCGTAATCTAGGAGTGGGCGCAAACATACCTTGTACAGTAGTATTCTTGATTCGTTTCTGTAGAAGTTCCTGAGCAGGAAACCAATAAGCCTTCGTGATTTCGATACTTGTTTCGAGATATGCTCTGAAAATGATAGATTGTGTGAATATTTCAGTCCTAGATCTAGTACAGATTTGAGTCTTGGGATTTTGTGGCCCTGAATTGCTAGGTCGAGTTCAAAGTTGGAACAGCCTAAGCAGAGCCATCCACGCATTTCAACATTAAACTCGAGTCTCCAGGTGTCACACCATTTTTCCATTTTTAATAATTCTTCATGTATGGAGTTCATAGTTGTATCGATATCTGTATTTGTGCAGGTATATGTCACCTTTAAGTCATCTGCATACAATATTGGCTTGCCTATATTAAGACATTCACATATACTGTTTATGTATATAATGAAAAGAAGAGATTGCGATACACCCCTGGATGACACCACTGCTGATTGGTCTAGGTCTGGAGGTCATTGAGCCAACTTTAGTTGTCTGATTCCTGTCATAGAGAAATGATTTTATCCAATTGTAGAGGGGGTTGCGTATCCCTAGTGAGTATAGCCTGCCGACTAGCAAACTATGTGGGACTCTGACGAAGGCTTTCCTTATATCGAAATAGAGGATAATTACCAGCTCTCTCCTATCTCTTCTATAGGTGACCTCGTTGAAAAAGTCGATATGGAAAGTGACGCAAGATCTTTCCTTGAGGAATCCGTGTTGTGACAGGTTGATGAGTTTATGTTTTAGAAAAAAGTCCGACAATCGGTTTTGATTATTTTCTCCGTGGTCCTTGTCATGACAATAACATCCATTCAATTAAGAGTCGATCGAACTATATCTACCTGATACAAAGGGTGAAGCATAACCGACACATGAATGAAATATGAGAAAACAAGGTCGAAACTTTCCGCAACACCACGTGAAAAGATATAAATTACTTGGACATTATTTATAATCCACCAACTGGTCTCCTTTCCCAAAAGAATGCGGCGATGCTTTATCCACAGGGGCGAGGATATACATAAATCCAGAGTTGCTGTTGTAAACACTCAGTGGAGGTAGGAGCCAATAAAATAATACATTCAAAGCATATGTGTACTTCTCATGATTACGGCGATTCTCTGCGGAATATGTCCAAATCCAAATCACTGCCTATACAGCGCCAATAAACCTGGATATCCATGAAATAACGAAAATGGGCTGACAGCTGCACCTCAGATCACAATGATCCATTCGATGGTAATATTCTGCTCATGCGTGCCTTATTCAACATTTTGTATGGATTGGTTCGCGGTCATTCTGGTTCCAGATCGAAAAGAATCAAAGCTTCACCGGTTGCTGAATCAATAGTACTTCTCTGCATGTTTAACTGTATTCTAACTGCTGTGGCGAGCCGTTTGCAGATTGGGTTACTTAAAACATCGTTTACGGTAAGCTAACTATCGTTTTATAAGCCGTTTTTACACTTTTGTGAGCAGCCCACCATATCGACCAAATGTAACACAACACTCAGTTGTTACGCGCATTTTCGACAGATTCAAACAATAATGGTGCCCAGGATTATATCATATAAATTGTTTTAACTGATGCAATTTTTGTTTACCGTTCGCCGTGTACGTTCCAATCAGGTGACGTTTTCATATGTGTTTTCGTTTTTATTCATTTACTGGTTACTGTTATTTAATCTTAAATATTGATGTTTGAAAATTCTGAAAAGCATATTCGTTTTAACAACACTAATTCAAAAAAATAGCACCAGGTCGTTTGGTATCACATTACCACCCGATATTATTTTTATTTCATACAACATAAAAGACTCGAACATAACTCTGTCCCCTGTAATTCAGTTAAAAATTTAGAGCTCTCTGACTTAACATGCGTAATTAATGTAATGCAGCTACAGATAGATGAATCAAAAACGAAATCAAGTTCACTAGAATGTATACCACAAACTATCTCACATATGAAAAAGGAACTACACGATCCTACAACCCTAAGGCTTTTTAACATGACTTATAGAATCACTCATACTGAATCAAAATGTGCGGAGTTAGACAACGTCGTCGACTTTCTATCCAGCGAAGTTGTTAAAAGGCTGGCTCCAAAACAAAACGCAGCAGTGTATTATGTACCGGATAGGGAGCTCACAAAGTCAGTCCAGCACTCATTGCTGAAGGCTGCGAATCTCTTGAGTGCACTTTGTCAGTGCATTCGCCTAAGTAAAAAAGACCTAAAGCATCCTCGTCCCATACTCTTTAGGTTTGACAGCTACATAATAGCCAATAGCCGAAGATCTTCTGGCCACTGCCACTAAATTCAAGACTATTAAAGTAGTCCCGGATAAAACACCAAACCAAAGGCAAGCAACCAAGAACTCCTTCGATAAAAAGTTGAAAACACTGAGAAATACATCTGGTATCAGTGCTAAAGTGTCGACTGACACTGAAGCACAGCAAGTCACGTGTATAGTGTTGGGAGAAAAAACGGCAAGTAAGAGCGACCCAAAACTCAGTAAGGGCAGTGTCACTGGGTACAATCTTAGAGTACATGAGAGCACATCTGGAAAACCTGCTGACCTACATGAGGTTGACATAGACGCACAAACTATGGCTGACCAGAAACTACTGGCAGACCACTCTCACTCTGGATCCAAGCCAAAGAGTCCCACAGTAGAAACTGCAAGAAAGACCACAAAGCCCAGAGTCCCACCCCAGACTTCGACATGCCTCCCTCGTAATAAGTCTAATAAGCAACATGACAGCCGAGAAAATGATAATGCATGGGTAACGAAGCACATTCCCAAAAACGTCACGCGGCATGTGAGTAAGAATACCCATTCCCGAACTAGGAGTAACATGCCTAGCAACGCACATAACTTGGTAATGCAACGTAGAATGAATCCTCAGGATATATGGAGCAATAAACGGTAATCATATGGGCACCATATTAACGAAAATTCTCGTCCAAACCCTCGAACTATCCACGTTCAACCCCATCAACATAATGAGTATAAGTCGACACTTGATCCCCTCGATAACTTCACTCACACACGTGACGTGAGCCAATATGCATATGGCTATGAAAGCCCCATGAGGTACAACTACCAAGGTAATCTTAACACAGGGTACTTAGGTCCAGCAAACTACAACCCAAATTGCAGGGCAGACCATATATCACCAGTAGATGAATGCAGATGCCGACCCATGGATGCTAATAGTCAAAATATGCAACAGGATTATTTTCGGCTGCAGCAAACAATAGCCCCACTCGCTGCACAGTTCATCCAGGAAATAGTACACACACTGACTCTGTCTCACCTCAGAGCCCCTCCAAACATAACGTAGGGATAGTGACAAGTAACCATGTTAACCTCTCCCCCAACAACTCTGGTTTACTAACAATTATGCTCCTGAATGCTAGGTCTCTCCTCAATAAAATAACAACGCTTCGCTGCCTGGCATACATAGAACGGCCAACACTAATAATGGTGACTGAAACCTGGCTTACTACTGATATACCTGACAAAAAGCTAGTAATAGCCAACTGTGAAATCTATAGGGACGATAGAGTTGACAAAAGAGGAGGCGGTTGTTTAATATATGCCTATAAACCCACTAACTCCAATACTTTCAATAACCCAAATACTGACAAACTCCCAGAATCTAAGTGGATAAGCATCCACACAAACGAAAGTAAAATTCTCGTGGGATGTATATACAGACCCCCCAAAAGCCCTGAAATGACTGATTTAACTATTGGAGAGCATGTAGCTACGCTGGACATTGACTACAAAGCAGTATGTGGAGATTTCAACTTACCTGGAGTAAACTGGGATACCTGTACAGGACCTAGAATCCATGAAGAGCTACTACAAGCTATAGACATAGGAGGATGGAAGCAGTGCGTGCGCCTCCCTACAAGGAACCAAAATACTCTTGACTTAATCCTCTGTCATAACATAGAGCCCATCTCGATAGAGGTGGGAAATAAACTCGATAACAGTGATCACAACATATTGTACTGCACGCTACCCCTCCGACTAACAACCGAATACACACCTAAAAATTCCCCGGTGCGCTATCAATATAGGGACTATAAGAATGCAGATTGGGAATTCCTATCAGATCTGTTGAGAAGTTCTGACTGGGAAGAATACTTCATCAACAATAACTTAGAAGTATCACTTGAGATCTTCTACAAAATGGTTGGCTCAGCAAGAGACACAATCACGCCCCTGAAATCTGCCCTAAAGACACCAACTCCATTTATTGACTGGAAAACGCGACTAAAACTAAAGAAATTGAAAAGGAAATACCATGTATTTAAGGAATTTGATGCGTTAAACCAAATACATGAAACTCTTGAACTTCTTGGAGTGAAACAGAAAATGATGTCAAACATGAGGAAAATAAAGCGCTAATGGGTAACACCAAAACTAAGGAACTTTGTAGGATATTGCAGAAACATTTAAAAAGCATTAATAATAATAATAATATATATTCTCATTTTTTACATGAGGGACGCCAGTTTACAGGCATCATCAATTCGATAATTTACACATAATATTAATAAGCATATTTAGTAAAGATAATATAATAAAGTACATTTTTTTCCCTAGCTATGTAGGGTACACCAATTGTATAGGCATGCATAAATATTGTTTTAATAATAATAATATATTCCTTCCTGTTTATGCAGGAACATACCTATTGTACAGGCATGGATAAGTTATTATATAAATTACACATAATTTGATGTATAATGGACTTACAGTTTGGTTGTTCTTTCTGACATTAGAGTCAGTCGGAACAGTCTGCTATAAAGTCTGTTTGTGTAGCACATAAAGAGATATAGAAATATTGTCTTCGCATTAACAAAAAACCCAGACATCACATGAATGTAATACAGATATCTGGGAAAAATAAAGCTTGAAGTCAATTCTCCTATATAACTTTGTTGTGAACAGCACCCTTGGCTTAAAGTTTATTGATGTATTATGTTGAGATCAGTGATATATTTATTCCATTTTTCAGCAGTCTTATCGTAGTTTCATAACAGGAAAGAAATTTGATCGTGGAGGCGAAAATTAGATAAAGTCATGCTAAGTTGTTTTACTGCATCAAATGGTCCCGAGGTCGATTCCAGAATTCTCCATTTGCTCCATTTGTGTCTGCATGGCGGACTGTACTCGTAAGTTGAGTAAAATGTTGAAAACCAGTTGCTTCTTTATTTCAGATCATGAATACTCATTTACATCGTGTCCGCCAGCTTCTTTAAATGGTAGAATTGGATCGTTCCTGGAATTTGAGTGATTATGGGATAAATGGTTTGGAATTAATCATAGCAGTTAGAATACAGTTAAACATGCAGAGAAGTACTTTTGATTCAGCAACCGGTGAATTTTTTATTCTTTTCGATCTAGTACCAGAATAACTGCGAACCATTCCATTCAATATGTCGAATAAGGCACGCAGGAGGAGATCATTACCATGGAATGAGTCAACTTGATCTGAGATGCAGCTTTCAGCATGTTTTCGTTATATCATAGATATCCAGGTTTATTGGCGCTGTAGAGGCAGTGATTTGGATTATGACGTATTCTACAAAGTCTCCGTGCCCATTTGAAGTATACATGTGCTTTGAAAGGATTACTTTGTTGGCTCCTACCCCCACTGAGTGTTAACAACAGCTGCTGTGGGTTTATGTATTTCCTCGCCTTTTTGGATAAAACATCGCCGCATTCTTTTTGGGTAGGAGACCAGTTGGTGGATTATAAATGATATCCAAGTAACTTTTATCTTTTCATGTGGTGTTGCGGTAAGTTTCTACCTTGTTTTCTCATATTTCATTCGTATGTTGATTATGGTTCGCCCTTTGTATCAGGTAGACATAGTTTGATCGACTCTTGGTTGAATGGGTGTTATTGTCATGACTGCTGCTTTTTTGTCTGGAATTATAAATAGAGACAAAACAAACAACAGGTGTAGTCTCTGAGTTCATACATTAAATGGGCCTATGATTTCTGAAACTCTTACATGGGAATTACCATTGGTATCAATTACAAACTCACTTAGTGTGTCATTAAGTGCCTTTTCAAAGGAGGCCAATGTGCTTGCTAGTCGTATTTTCTCAGGTAGTTTGTTCCATATTTGGGCATACCTAATCAAGAAAAACTTTTGCCTGGTGGCTGTTTTACATGGTTCTATAGCCACTGTACCTTTAGTGTGCCTAAGGTTGTATCCTGTGTTACCTGAGGACCGAGTATAGTTAGCAGGGGTATACACTATTTGGTTAAGAAGCTTATAGAAGAGTAACAGATTTAGTCGCAGTCGCCTTAACCATAATGTTTCTAGTCCCAGGATTTCACATCTGGTAGAGTAGTTTGTGCCGTTATCGGTTCCGAGTACTTTTCGCGTGAAGTACCTCTGTACTCCTTCTACTTTCAGTTTGTCTTCTATGCGTGTACTGCTGAATATGAATGAGCAGTAATCTAGGAGTGGGCGCACACATACCTTGTACAGTAGTATTCTGGACTCGTTTCTGTAGAAGTTCCTGAGTAGGAAACCAATAAGCCTTCGTGATTTCGACACTTGATTCGAGATATGCTCTGAAAATGATAGATTGTGTGAATATTTCAGTCCTAGGTCTAGTACAGATTTGAGTCTGGGGATTTTGTGGCCCTGAATTGCTAGGTTGAGGTCAAGGTTGGAACAGCCTATGCAGAGCCATCCACACTTTTCAACATTAAACTCAAGTCTCCACGTGTCACACCATCTATCCATTTTTGCTAATTCTTCATGTATGGAGTTCATAGTTGGGCCGATATCTGTATTTGTGCAGGTATATGTCACCTTCAAGTCATCTGCATACAGTATTGGCTTGCCTATACTAAAACATTCACATATACTGTTTATGTATATAATGAAAAGAAGGGGTCCCAATACACTCCCCTGGATGACACCACTGCTGATTGGTCTAGGTCTGGAGGTCATTGAGCCAACTTTAGTTGTCTGATTCCTGTCATACAGAAATGATTTTATCCAATTGTAGAGGGGGTTGCGTATCCCTAGTGAGCATAGCCTACCGACTAACAGACTATGTGGGACTCTGTCGAAGGCTTTCCTTATATCGAAATAGAGGATAATCACTAGCTCTCTCCTATCTCTTCTATAGGTGACTTCGTTGAAAAAGTCTATATGGCAAGTGACGCAAGATCTTTTCTTGAGGAATCCGTGTTGTGACAGGTTGATGAGTTTATGTTTTAGAAAGTAGTCTGACATTTGGTCTTTGATTACTTTCTCCATGATCCTTGATATGACTGGTGTTATATTGATAGGCCTATAATTACATGCACTAGTTTTGGCCCCTCCTTTATGCTTAGGTAATATATATGTGTTTTTCCAAGTTTCAGGGTAGGTTTCGGTCACTAGTGAGATATTAAATATTCTAAGTAATAATACAATCATATCCGTACCACCGTTTTTGTATATGACGGATGGTATATCGTCTATCCCACAACTACTGTTAGCTTTTAATGTCCTTACCGCCGATGCTATATTTTGTATATTAAAGTTTATTTCACCTAACTTGTAGTTATTTTTGCAGGTTATGTCGAGAATTGGGGACGGATGTGCTTTGGTGTTATTGGAGAACCACTCACTCAGGAGTTCACTAATGATCTGGGGATCATCATAAATTATATCTTCGTGTTCTAAATGACTGATATTGTTTTCTTCACCCTTCTTCATCCGTTTTTGCAAGATTTTGCAGAGTTCCTGGGTTTTAGAGGTGCCCTCTAGGGCTTTATTTTCCTCGACTTGTGCTTTCATTTTATGTCTCTCATCTAAATTTTTAAATATTTCGTGTATCAGGTGTAATGCATTAAATTCTTTGTATAAATAAAATCTCCTTTTTAGTTTCCTTAGTTTTATTCGCGTTTTGCGATCTATGAACAGAGTTGGTGTCTTTAGGGCAGATTTCAGGGGTGCGATTGTGTCTCTTACCGAACTGATTGTCTTGTAGAAGGTATTTAGTATTACTTCTAAGTTATTATTGGTGAAGTATTCACCCCAGTCTGAGCTTCTCAAGAGCATTGGTAGGAATTCCCAGTCGGCATTTCGATAGTCCCTATATTGATAGTAAACCGGGGAACTCTTAGGTGTGTGTTTAGTTGTTAGTTGTAAGGGTAGGGTGCAGTACAGTATGTTGTGGTCACTGTTGTCGAGTTTATCCCTCACCTCTATCGAGATCGGCTCTATTTTGTGACAGAGGATTAAGTCGAGTATATTGTTGTGTCGTGTTGGGAGGCGTACGCACTGCTTCCATCCTCCCACATCTATGGCTTCTAGGATCACCTCGTAGGTTCTCGGTCCAGTGCAGGTATCCCAGTTCACTCCAGGGAGGTTGAAATCGCCACAAACTAGTTTGTAGTCGAATTCCAGCTTAGGTACAACCTCTAGTATTTCTCCGATAACCGTATCAGTCGTTATAGGGCTGTTAGGGGCTCTGTATATACATCCCACAAGAATGTTATTTTCATTCGTGTGGATGCTTATCCACTTGGATTCTGGGAGTTTGTCGATAGTTAGGTTTGTAAAGGTATTGGAGTTAGTGGATTTAGAGGCATATATTAGACAGCCGCCTCCTCTCTTGTCTGCTCTGTCATTCCTGTGGATGTTATAGTTATCGATTATCAGCTTTGTGTCAGGTATATCAATAGTAAGCCAAGTTTCAGTTACCAGAATCAGTGTTGGCCGCTCCATGTATACCAAGCTGCGAAGGGAAGTTATTTTGTTAAGGAGAGATCGAGCATTTAAAAGCATAATTTTCAGAAAACCAGGGTTGTTGGGATAGTTAGTAGGTTTTCTTGTTACTATCCCTAACTCCTGGTTGCCTATGTTATGTTCGGAGGAATCCTCATATGAGACATTGTCAGCGTGTTTACTATTCCCTGGACAAATTGTGCTGCGAGGGGGGCTATTGCTTGCTGCAGCCGAAAATAATCCTGTTGCATATTTTGACTATTAGCATCCATGGGTCGGCATCTGCGTTCATCTACTGGTGATATATGGTCTGCCCTGCAATTTGGGTTGTAGTTTGCTGGACCTGGGTACCCTGTGTTAAGACTACCCTGGTAGTTGTACCTCATGGGGCTTTCATAGCCGTATGCATATTGGCTCACGTCACGTGCGTGAGTGAAGTTATTGAGGGGATCAAGTGTCGACCTGTTCTCATTATGTTGATGAGGTCTAACATATATAGTGCGGGAGTCTGGACGAGAATTTTCGTTAATATGGTGCCTATATGAGTCCCGTTTAGTGCCCCATGTATCCCGAGGATCCATTCTACGTTGCATTCCCAAGTTATGTGCGTTGTTAGGCATGTTACTTCTAGTCCGGGAAGGGGTATTCCTTCTCATATGCTGCGTGACGTCTTTGGGAATGTGCTTCGTTACCCATGCTTTGTCATTTTTTAGACTGACACGCTGCTTATTTGACTTATTACGAGGGAGGTATGTCGAAGTCTGGGGTGGGACTCTGGGTTTTGTGGTCTTTTTTGCGGTTTCTACTGAGGGACTCTCTGGCTTGGATCCAGATTGAGTGTGGTCTGCCAGTAGTTTCTGGTCAGCCATAGTTTGTGCGTCTATGTCAACCTCATGTAGGTCAGCAGGTTTTCGAGATGTGCTCTCGTGCACTCTAAGACTGCACCCAGTGGCACTGCTCTTACTGAGTTTTGGGTCGCTCTTACTTGCCGTTTTTTCTCCTAACACTATACACGTGACTTGCTGTGCCTCAGTGTCCGTCGACTCTTTAGCACTGATACCAGATGTATTTCTCAGTGTTGTCAACTTTGTGTCGAAGGAGTTCTTGGTTGCTTGCCTTTGGTTTGGTGTTTTATCCGAGACTACTTTGATAGTCTTGAATTTAGTGGCAGTAGCCAGAAGATCTTCGGCCATCTTAAATCGTTCAGCTGTTATGTAGCTGTCGAACCTAAAGAGTATAGGACAAGGATACTTCAGGTCTTTTTTGCTTAGGCGAATGCACTGACAAGGTGCATTCAATAGATTTGCAGCCTTCAGCAATGAGTGCTGGACTGACTTTATGGGCTCACTATCCGGTACATTATATACTATTGCGTTTTGTTTTGAAGCCAGCCTTTTAACAACTTCGCTGGATAGAAAGTCGATGGCGTTTTCTAACTCCTTCGCATTTTCTGAGTCAGTATGAGTCATTCTAGAGGTCATATTAAAAAGCTTTAGGATTGTAGGATCCTGCATTTCTTTTTTCATACGTGAGATAGTTTCAGGTATACATTCTAGGGAACTTAATTTCGTTTTTAATTCATCTATCTGTAGCTGCATCTCTTTAATTACGCACGTTAAGTAAGAGAGCTCTACTTTTTCAGACAGAACATCTTCCACCTGTATTACAGGGGTCAGAGTTATGTTCGAGGCTTTTATGTTGGGTGAACTACTAATAATATGGGGTGGTAATGTGTTATTAGACGAGCCGGTGCTATTTTCTAAGTTACTGGTGTTCACACGAACACGCTTTTTAGAATTTTGAACCATCGTTATTAAAGATCAATTATTAGTAACCAATAAATGAATATAAGCGAAAACACGTGCAAAAGCGTCACCTGATTTGAACGTACCGGGCGATTAATCAAGACAATAATATAAGCATCTTGGTACATAAGGGTATAATTTACAGTGATCTCCAGGTTATAAATGAACTCCTCAGTGAGTGGTTTTGCAATGACACCGGAGTGCACCCGACCCCAAATTTCCAAATGACCTGCAAAAGTAACCACAGATTAGGAGAAATACACTTTAATATACAAAATATAGACTCAGCGATTAAGACATTGAAGTCAAATGGCAGCACGGAAATGGTAGTCTTGTTACTTAGAATATTTACTCTGTCACTGGAAACTGGAACTTATCCTGAAGTGTGGAAAACCACATACATACTACCTAAGCACAAAGCAGGGGCCAAAACCAGTGCATGCAACTATAGACCTATTAATATAACACCGGTAATATCACGAATAATGGAGAAAGTGGCCAAAGACCAAGTGTCAGACAACTTACTAGAACATGAACTAATCAATCCATCACAACACGGATTCCTCAAAAAGAGATCATGTGTGACCTGTCACATAGACTTTCTCAATGAAGTTACACGAAGCAGAGATAACAGAGAACTAGTAATTGTGCTATATTTCGATGTACCAAAAGCCTTTGATGGAGTCCCCCATAATCTGCTAGTCAGCAGGTTATGCTCACTAGGGATATGTGACCCTCTCCTGAGCTGGATAAAATCATTTCTCTGTGACAGGAATCACATAACAAAAGTTGGCTCGATAACCTCAAGGCCTAAACCAGTAAGTAGTGGTGTAATACAGGGAAGTTTATTAATAATAATAATAATTTATTTTCATATAAACATAAATTTACATGAAAATGCATGCCATTTTTACAGGCACAGTCAAGGATGATATAATGTCGGCCCACTCCTATTCATAATATATATAAACAGTATCTGTGAATGCTTTAGTGTTGGTAAACCAATACTATATGCAGATGACTTAAAAGTGACCTACAAATGCAAGAACACAGATCTCGGAATAACAGTAAACGCCATACAGCAAGAATTAGAAAAAATGGATAGATGGTGTGACACCTGGCAACTCCAGTTTAATGTCGAAAATGTGGCTGGCTCTGCATAGGTTGCAACAATTTAGAACTTGACCTGACAATTCAAGGTCATGCACTCTTACGACTGGAATCTGTACTGGACCTAGGACTGAAATACTCACATGACTTATCATTTTCCGAGCATATCTCCAAACAAGTGTCAAAGTCACGCAGACTTATCGGCTTTCTACTCAGGAACTTTTACAGAAATGAGTCCAGAATTCTGTTGTACAAGGTTTGTGTGCGTCCTTTATTTGATTACTGTTCATTCATATATAGTAGTATACGCATAGAGGACAAATTGAAAGTCGAGGGAGTGCAGAGGTACTTCACGTCAAAATTACTCGGAACCGAAAATGGTGCGAACTACTCCACTAGATGTGATACCCTAGGATAAGAAACACCATGGCTAAGACGCCTGAGACTAAACTTAACACTTTACTATAAGCTTCTGAACCACTTAGTTTTTACCTCTACCAATGGCACTCGACTTTCAGATGACAATGGCTATAAACTAAGACACACTAAGGGTACAGCAGCTATCGAACAATGTAAAACAGCTACCAGGCAAAAGTTTTACTCGATTAGGTATGCACAGATATGGAATAAACTACCAATGGAAATGCGTCAAGCAGGTACATTGGCCTCATTCAAAAAAGTGCTTAACGACAAACTACAAGAGTTTGCAAACGATAGTAGTCCTAGTTCCTATCTGAGAGCCTCCGAAATTATAGGTCCATTTAATGTATAAACTTAAATACTACTCCTGTTGCTTTTTGCCTATATTTATAATTTTAGATAAATTATTAACGATTAAGATACTTACCCTCAAACAGGCAAGAGATTTCGTTTGTAAAACTTCTACCCAACACAACAAGTGGAATAAAACGGACATAAACCGACAACATGAAAAAGATATAACTCACCACAACATCACATGGACAGATGTATGCTTGTCGGGCATCTTATATACCTCACCAACCACAACTCAACTTTCCTAAGATAATGTGATGAACTTATATCCATAATGTTGCTTAGCAGTTGATACTCACAACTCCTGTTGGAACAGCTGAAATTCATAAACCTTCCTCTCGCGAAAAAACACCCTCAAGCCGTAGAAATCCAACAATTAACGCGTGTAAGCTTATGTATTTTACTCACAACAATGACATTGCAGATCCAATGAGATAAACATATGACTGATTTCAAAACAAAACATCAATGAACTATAATTCAAGGATTCTGAACACAACAAAGTAATGTACGAAAATTGACTTCAAGCTTTATTTTTTTCCCAGGCACTTATAACCCATCCACCAAAGACCTGGGTTTTTGTTAATGCGAAGGCAATACTTCCGTATTTCTTGATGTGTTGCACTCACTGACAATCTGGTACAGAAATGATTGTACATAAGTGAAAAGGATGTTTTATACTATTGTGATTAACATTTATCAAGTGTATGTATAATCTCCAGCGTACATGTAAAACATAATTTGCTATCGACTGTAAATTGTGACTGAATGATATGATTCTATTTCGATAACAATTTGATGATCCCTGTAAACTGGCGTCCCTCACGTACTGTACTATGAGAATAAATTTATTTATTCATCATTATCCCATCATCCTCCCTTGTATATATATATCTTGTGTCAGTGAAAGACTTTAAACATGCTTACTCCATGTGTACATTATTATCATATTGATGATGCCTGTCAACTGTCATGTGCATTAAATGACCATATATTATTATAAGATTAATTTTTTTTTATAATAGGGAATTGACTTCAAGCTTTATTTTTTTCCTAAGCATTTATAATACATCCAACGAATACTTGAGTTTTTTTGTTAATGTGAAGTCAATATCTCTATATCTCTTGATGTGGTTCACTGAATCACTAGTTATCAGGTCTTTCCCACAAACTAAAGACAGATTGACAGCAACCGGAAATCATGTAATTTAGACAATACTTTTGCGTGCCTATACAACTGGTGTATCCTACATAGCTAGGAAGAAATACATACCTTATGACAATATATTCACTAACCATGCTCACTAATCGTATGTGTAATTTATCGAATTGATGATGCCTGTAAACTGGCGTCCCTCATGTACACAAAAATGTATATATATAATTTTACTGTCATTAATATGACGGTTGTTATATTGATAGGCTTATAATATTTCTTGAAAAAAGCAATAAAAATGATGGACCCCA